CTAATGGTTCTGTTCCTGGTTCAGTCTGAGTCCTGGTTTCTAATGGTTCTGTTCCTGGTTCTGTCTGAGTCCTGGTCTCTAATGGTTCCTGTTCCTGGTTCAGTCTGAGTCCTGGTCTCTAATGGTTCCTGTCCCTGGTTCAGTCTGAGTCATGGTCTCTAATGGTTCTGTTCCTGGTTCAGTCTGAGTCCTGGTCTCTAATGGTTCTGTTCCTGGTTCAGTCTGAGTCCTGGTCTCTAATGGTTGCTGTTCCTGGTTCAGTCTGAGTCCTGGTCTCTAATGGTTGCTGTTCCTGGTTCAGACTCAGTGTTGGTGCCTGGGAGGACCGGGCGATTCTGGCCCGGCTGAAGGAGAAACTGCAGACTGAAGAGGGACGGCTGGTCCTCCGGATCGAACAGGAAGACTGGAAGGTAAGCGAACCTGCAGGAGGTCTAAATGGACCCTGTAGGAGGTCTAATTGGACTCTGAAGGAGGTCTAAGTGGTGGTCTCTGCTTTCTCTGATGTCTCTTCATGTTTCAGTCGCTGCCGGGCTGCTTGATCCAGTTCACCCAGGTCCAGGAGTGGCAGATCCACCGGACCGGCCTTCAGAAGATCCCTCAGTTCATCTCCAGCTTCCAGAACCTCATAGTTCTGGATCTGTCCCGAAACGGGGTCTCAGCGATCCCCAAACCTATCGGTCAGTACATCCACAAACAATGTTTAGTCTTAGTAACACAGATTCCAGGGGTCTAGACCTGGTTTTGCAGTGAGTCCTGTTGTGTTCTGGTTCTGTCTCAGTGAGTCCTGTTGGGTTCTGGTTCTGTAGGGCAGCTGACCCGCCTCAAAGAGCTGCTGCTGAGCTACAACAGGATCGAGTCTGTTCCTGAAGACCTGAGCGGCTGTGAGAGTCTGGAGAGGCTGGAGCTGGCCATGAACCGGGACCTGAGTGAGCTGCCAGACCAGGTACTGACCACAGATCAGTTACAGACCAGGTACAGATCAGAGACCAGGTACTGACCTCAGATCAGGTACAGACCAGGTACAGATCAGAGACCAGGTACTGACCTCAGATCAGCTACAGACCAGGTACAGATCAGAGACCAGGTACTGACCTCAGATCAGGTACAGACCAGGTACAGATCAGAGACCAGGTACTGACCTCAGATCAGGTACAGACCAGGTACAGATCAGAGACCAGGTACTGACCTCAGATCAGGAACAGACCTCAGACCAGGTGCAGACCTCAGACCAGGTACAGACCTCAGATCAGGTACAGACCTCAGGTCAGGTACAGACCTCAGATCAGGTACAGACCTCAGACCAGGTACAGACCACCACCAAGGTAAGGATAAATAACAGGCTCAGATCAAGTATAGAATAGGAACAGACTGGGTAAAGACCACCACCTCAGTCCGACTACAGACCAGGTAAAGAACACTACCTCAAGTAAAGACCTCTACCTCAGGTAAAGATCACTACCTCAGTCAGACTACAGACCAGGTCCAGACC